TCCGCTCCGAGTCCGTATCATTGAAAACGCGACTGATGTGTTTTGTGTTGACTTCAATTACGCAGCAAAAACTCAAATCGTACCAGGCTTTACCCCACCTTGGTCCACAAATGAGTATGGAGTACTTTACTGAATAGTGAAAATCTTGATGTCAAAGCGTGTTAGAGTGTTGATGGATCGTCATATACAGCTTCTGGTCGACCGAGTCTGGAATGCCGGATAGTGGCTAGTGGCTGCCAGCCGTCAGACTGATCCCCTTTCATGATAGCTTCGAAAGTTATGGCGAAACGACACTAGCCTCCGGGACTCGTATTGCAAAGACTTGGTGCACAACACATGTTGCTGGGCGGGCACTGCGCCCAGTACGGACACAGTCTAAGCCATCGGATGGGCGGGGTGACAGGGTCGGGGCTAATATTGATTGCTCATTTACCCCAACACAGGACGTCCCCGAACCACCCTGGAACCGACCAAGACAGCGCGTCGCTGAACACTACGCTCAGCACGGACGAAAGCTAATCCATTGAATAATTCAATAGGCTCCTTGTCACTGATTTCTGATACATTTGTTTCCGCCAGTAGTGGTATATGCAAAGGCTGTACATCCGTAACCGAAGGGTCGATGTTCGCATTGAACCTGCTGTTAAAGTTATCTCGGTTATACGTAGTTTTTTTTGGCCTGAATTCAAAGAGCTGACGACGAACAGCGAGCATCGCGAAAGTGCCATCCGATGCTTAGTATGTACATGCCTATTACGATTTCTGGATACCATTGACTACCCCTGAGCTCAGTCATTGTGAGGGATCTTCGAGAGATCCTGCTTTTTTGAATGGAACGTTTTGTCAGCCACATGCTATATGCGATAAGCAACTCCGTGGCAAGCGCCGACACGCTGCTGATCTTTAAAACGCGTCCGCTTACAACTAGGAGGATCCACTATCTCACCACACCGTTCACCATCGAACGAAATGTCTTCAAAATCCACTGTTCCTGTACCCAAAAAGTTCGTATTCAAGGAGCCTACGAAACAACTTCGGAGAGGAAAAGCTTGTCTAAACTGCCGATTTCACAAAATTGTAAGCTCTAAAGAACTTCCAGGATGTTCAGGCCTTTTTATTCAGTTTTGAACCAGAAATGCGACGGAGTAAAGCCAGTATGTGGTAGCTGCACGCGTCTTCCTCGGGAAGAGGAGTGTGAATACGCTAGCGCCAGCTCAAGAACGAAGGAATTAGAGCAGCGAGTTACCAGACTCAAAGCTCGCGTCCAGGAATTAGAGAGTCCCGAGGTGACCGGATCTGGATTACAATTAGCAGATCCTCACTTTGCTGTGAATGAGAGAGTGAGTACTCTCTCAGTTCCCAGCTCAAGGGCTCAGTCTATTTCTGGTAGGTTCACCCCAAGTCTGGGAATGGACTGAATTACTGAATCTATGCGTTTGTTGCAGATCATTCCAGCTCTTCTTCTCGTTCTAGCTTCGACCCGCTTCTCGGATCACCGGTAAATGGCGCACCGGGTTTCGCCGTAGTACATTCAGACTAACATATGTTTTCACGTTTTAGGAACCTTCTATATCCATTATAAATATGTTGTAAGTCTCCCGAATTCACAAGTAAAAATGGTTATCTGATGATTCTACAAAAGGCTAGATAACTTCCTCCCTTTCGGTTCACAATTTGGCTTTTTTCTCCATCTTGAACGTTTCAAATCTGCTGCGCTGATGAATGCGCCGTTTGGGGATGACTCAAGACCATCTCCAGCTCTACTCAACGCAGTTTATCTATGGGGGGCCCACCTTTCCCCTGTAGATGCCCTTCAGTCGAACGAAACAATATTTCTCAATCGAGCTCTTCAACATATTTCCGTCGAACTACCCAACGCTTTAAACTCCGCACAGATAATGCACACAATCCAGGCTGAAGTCCTAATATCGACATATTTCTTCCGAAAAAATCAGTTGCTGGAGGCCGAGTTCCATCTTAACGGAGCTGTATCACTCTCACAGTCTGCGGGGCTGCATCAGATCCGCTCGGACAGGGTATTCTCATCCCCAGTGGTCAAGATTCTGATGGAAACAGAGGCATTCCTGCCCCCTGCACAAGACGTGATCGAGGAAGGAGAAAGGATCAACGGTTTTTGGGCGGTATATTGTCTCCAACGACTTGTTTCAATAACAGTAGGGAACCCTTCCTACTGTTTTGGGGGATTGGACAATCCTTTTAGGGATATTGACACCCCTTGGCCTTGCGAATACGAATTTGTAGGTGTCCGTGGTGCTCGTATACATGCACAATTGCTCACACGGTTGATTTAGGGCTTGTACAACGACGGAGCCTTCGGACGTTCTACCATAGAACAGTTTACTCATGGCCAGAGTCCAATTTTCGAGCCAGTCTTTGATTTGAGCTCCTACACAAAGGCTGTCGTGCTTCTCCACCATGTGATTCGCCTGGCCCATAAACTGAATCGGGGTGAGTGAGATGTATGCGCAGTCTCGGGGTTCATATGTATTCATATCTGCTTGTTCATAGGTCTGAACTCTGAGGATGCATATGCAGCATTCACGAATGATTGTATCTTCTTTGAGAGTCTCCTTACTCGTTTCCACTCCTCACTTCCTTCTTTGGACATCGACAATTCCTTTTATGGGTTCTCAGGCCCCACGAGGGACTCTCTTGTTGTAACTCACGTCCTGATCTGGTGCGCATATATGCAGGTCCAAAAGATTTATTCTTCTTGTGGGGTGCCCGACGCCCTGGAGCGCTGTATTGGCACGGCCCAAAACATCATACACACCCTTGCAGATGCGAACCACTTGCACTTAAATCCGATAGTAGGTACATTGTGTGCCATGGCGTGCAGTACCATCGGCGACGAACTAGTGCGAACAGAAACAGTAACACAATGGGATCTGGAAACCCTAGGAAATCAAATAGATACAAGTGTGTTGCGCCAAGGCTTGGAAGCTGGGATAGCTACTATGGCCCTCCTCGCCATGGATAGTCCTGTAATGAGTAAGTGTTCACAATAAAACCATAAGGTTAGCGACTGACTTTCATTTGCAAATAGAATACCAGATGGACAAGCTCCAGAACGCCTACCCATTCATATGAATTCATGATTTTAATGTTAATATTAATGCATCTATTTATGCTGTATTTATGTATTTTTACAACCTGTATCCATTACATGTACAATACCTTTCTCAAATGTAATCTCGCATATCATACCATGACGGACGAAGAGTCAATGAGCAACGACTCAAATATCAATATGCGTCTGGAATTGACATTAAATACAAGCAGCAGCAGCACTGCAATATACATACATAATCAATCACAAAAAGTAAGCAACAAGTGCTGATAAGTAGAAATCGATCCCGAACCTGGGGACCTAAGATAATAAATTTCAACGGAAGAGATGGTTCCTAGCCGGTCTCTGTAACATAGGCTCATCCGTAATCTTCTCTTCTTCCAACGGACGATAAGGAGTAGCAGGTCGAGTACGACAAGTAAAATATGCAACGTTATCTTCGGAACTTTCATGCCCGTGCATACCCTCCCCCTCGTAGATGGGAAGTCGTAGGTCTAAGTCTCGAACAACGTGGTTGCCATCGGTATGGTGACCAGCAGGCCAGAATGATTTATGCGTAACAACTTGAATCAGACGCGGGGGTGATGGCAGAGGATTGGGGGTGACGAGCGGGGCGTTCGGTATTGGCAGAGGCTTCGTGGGCTTCGTCGGCAAAAGCTTTTTAACCTTGCGGTCAACCTGAGGCTGCTTCTTGTCAAGCTCTGCACGAAGCTGATCGATTTGCGCTTGCTGCTCTGCAAGCTGACTGAGCGAGGAAAAATTGTGTAGTAAGGCGGCAATCAAGATTCAATAAGACACACCTGCGCAATGCTTGTTCCATTATTGCAGCTTCAGCTTGTTTCCGCGAGGCAGTGTCCTGGACATTTTTTTCAAACTGACGAGCGGATTTTTGAAGGGTTTTGATCTTCTTGTGATCGTGAAGATTCTTTTGTTTGAGCTGCTGGTACTGGTCCAGAGCGTCCCGAGCTCTGCGAAGAGGACTTTGCTTGTCGTCAAGTCAGTCAAACGAGAAATCGAGTACTTTGGAAAAGTACCTCGTCGGGCTGTCGTGAAGCTATCCACTCGTCTACACAAATACGGACACGCAAAATTTCTTCTTCGGTGGTATCATGAACCTGGATTAACCGTTTCAAAAGGTCAATTTCCTCCTTCTGGGTATCCCACTGTGTGCAATCGACATGGAGCTTCTGCACTTCACTAGGAAGGAAGATTTTCCGGCACATAGGGCATTTTGTGGGGAATACTTGATCAAGACACCTGGAGTAACATGATTACCTTGACTATGTTCGTTGGACAGTAAAGCTCACTCTGCGCAAAATACATGACCTTGGAAAAGAATTAGAGATGAAAAGTATGATTAGAAGCTTTCATACCACAGTCGATAATATGAGGGGTCCGTTGAGGATTCTCCCAGTCGTAGGCCTCCAAACAAACGTCACAGCTACTTGAAGGGTCAACGACCAACATTACGGTTAGAAAAGAACAGGCTGGTGGAAGAGTAAGGGAGCATGAAGCATGGTCATCTTTTGAGGTGCCTAGTGGCTTTGTCCTTGTGCCCTTGAGGCAAAGACGTTTCCTCCGCAAGGCATGAAACGACGCAACAAATACTTACGAGTGTACGTAATCGACGATCGCCGTAAGTGATCGTTGTACGCATACTGCCTTTTCTTTTCTTCTCAAGTATATAGATAGTAGAGACCATTCGGAACCGTACTGTAAGCTTTTGGCCTTGCCAAAAATATAGTCAATCGAAGCAAGTCTTAGTGACCTTTTACGCTCATAAACCGAAGGCATGACTCGTTTTTCCACCTGTACAGTCCCGGTATAAGGGTGTTTTTCCTCATGGCCTTGAGTCTTCCACTGTTGCACCTACTCGAAACGAAAGTTACAAGAGGAGTATTATACGCATGCATTAATGGGGTAGTGGTAACCTGGGTCGTTGCCATCAGGTGACTTATTCGACCCGCCGGGGGTTCGATTCCCTCTTAATGCATAGTATTATTGTGGCAGAACAAAAACTTTTATTGGCTTCGTGAGCTTGCAACAATCTCCTCCATAAGTGGATATGAGAAATAATCTCAGCAGTTGTTAAGTAGAGGTGCACGAGCCGTAAGCAGATTACCTTGTTTTCCTGTAAGCAATTTCATCGGTAATTCCGACGGGACGGATGTGTCAGCTGTTATTACTTTGATGAATAACTCGTGAATAACTGTGATGTCTCTGCTGACAATGTGCTATTTTCCAATGTATTTAACCAACAATTCCCTCGAACGTGTATCCATTCCCATCCCTCACTACCATGTCCAAGACAACCGATATCGCCAAATCTACCATTGTCCTCGTCGGTGCTGGCCTAGGTGGTCTTGCGCTGCTTGAAAAGCTTTCAACCAGCATTAACCCCGACAAACACTCTCTTATTCTCATTGATGCCCGTCCAGCATTAATGCATCTCATTTCGACTCTCCGTCTCATCGTGTCAGACTCAGACAACCTCCTCGAAAAAGCTATTCACCCGTACGGAACACACACTTTTCGAAACAAATTTGTCGGAAACGCGTCTTTCATCCATGCCTCGGTAACCGAAATCAAGTTTGGTGATTCTGAACTTTTGTTAAATAACGGTCAAACGGTCAAGTATGATGTGCTCGTGCTCGCTACTGGCTCGGTTTGGCCTCGTCCAATCGCTTTCCCGAACGAGAGTCGTGAGGCAATCATCGAACATGTAAAGTCGCGTCGTGCAGAGTTTGAAAAAGCGACAAACATCCTGCTTGTCGGCGGTGGGGCTGTCGGTATAGGTCAGTTACTATTCATCGCGTCAATTTTATTACTCATGTCATGTGCAGAGCTTTCTGGAGAACTTCGAGATGCATTCCCTGTAAGTCTTTCTTTCTCTCCCGAGCGAATAATTCTGATATCATGTATTCAGACAAAACCGATAACTATCATTCATCGCGAACGCCTTCTGCTCAACTCGACATACCCGGACAAATTCCGTATCCGCATGCAACGCCAACTCGAAACGCGCAGCATAGCTGTCCTCACAGATGACTATATCTCTGACTCTGACTTAGCGTCTGTTTCTGAAAGCCAGGTCCCATCGGCCGGCTTCGTCTCCGCACGAGGCACCAAGCTCAATCCAGATCTTGTTGTTCCGACCTGGGGTAATCGCCCCAACACCTCCTACCTCCCGTCCTCCGTCCTCTCCTCGTCTTCCCGTGTGAAAATCCTCCCAACATTCCAGCTCCCTGATCATCCGAACGTGTTTGCTTTCGGTGATATAATCGATTGGGACGAACAGCACATGGCCGGAAAAGCAGTGGCTTTCCATGCACCGAAGGTCGCTACGAACGTAATGCTTTATTTGAATCTGGTTGAGTCAGCTGGTCCTGACGCAAAGGTGGATTTGAGCGCATCGAAGAAGAGTGTCAAGTATACTGGAAGTTTCGAAGGGTTGGCGATTACGAATGGAAAGGTGGGCACCGCTTCGAGCACCATATCCTGATATTGGTTTTCTGATATTTCGTTCTTTCATAGGCATCTGGCTTGGGATTCTTAGACGTCCTCTGGGGCATCACCTTGTCCGGATGGGTTGTTTCAATGATCAAATCAAAAGGCCTTTTTGTGTCGGGCTTGTCTAAAGTGACGGGGTACACGCCCTCCACATCGAAGTAGCTAGTTCGCATTTTCTGGTTTCTTCGATATTTATTGTACTCGCGGTGGGCTTTTGCACCAACAGCACGATCGTTGACCTTTTTTTTTCTATACCCCAGGTCTCATACATTATCATTTTGACTCTCGTTGATTGGTACCATTCTATTCGGGTTTGTGCAATTCTACTGTTTCAATCTATGGAGGGATAAATCATTTTCTCGATATGCAACTTTGGAATGTGGTCCAAGGTCGTCCTGTCAATCCAATTTTTTAGCTCGTTCTTAAGAAAGGACTGAAAGCTGTAAGGCTTGATAAAGTTATTAAGAAATTGCTCTTCAAGACTTCCTTAAAATCGTTCCTTAAAGCTTGTCATTCTCGTGTTCGCTCGAGTTTTTAAAGTACTTTTGAGAAATACCGTTCTGAAACGTTCATTATTGTCTTTAATGTCGCTTTAATGTGCGAGATTTACAGTTCGAGGTCCTTCTCCAAAGCGATTTCATTAGAGTCCTTTATAGTTTGAGTGCGTCTTTAAGTATGTACATCTTAGATCACAAATAAGTTAAAGAGATTGGAATCCCATTACTAACGAACTACCCTTTCATTGCTCGGTTTAATCCAACTCGTGGTACAATGAGGACGACGTACCGTACCCCGGGCCTATGTCCAAGGATGAGCTTGACTTCAGAGAAGAAACCTCTGGCAACAGTGCTCGGATTCTGATTCGGAGAACGGGGATAGTGGGAGTGTGTCGTTATACAGTGGATGAGCACAGGGAACCCCTACACTTGTGCACAAGTGGGTCGTGCCCGAGACCAACAAGTCTGACTTTTTCACGTTAGAGGAGGACTGGTAGCCACAAGCTGTTGATATCATGATGGCATCGGCCACTACAAGAATCTAGGTGAACAGGAGCAGAATACTCTTTCAAGTGCAAGTGGTTCGCATCTGCAAGGGTATGTTTTGGGCCGTGCCAACATAGCGCTCCAGGGCATCAGGGACCCCAAAAGAAGAATACATCTTCTGAATTGCATAGAGTACATGCCACGCACCAGATCAGGACGTGAGTTACAACAAGAGAATCTTTTGTGGGGCCTGAGATCGAGAACCCATAAAAGGAATTGTCGACGTCCAAGGAAGGAAGTGAGGAGCGGAAACGAGTGAGGTGACTCTCAGAGAAGATGTAATCATTCAATGCTAGACCGCACAGTGAGCGTGTATCCACCGTCCGGAGGTGCACCAAACGCTTATCCAACGCTCGAATCTAAAATGTTTAGATTCTGAAAACAGTTGGAAAGAGCTCAAAAAATGACGGAGAAAGGCTCATCGTGAGGATCTCTGCTCGGAGAAATGTGCCAGTAGATGGTTGAAGAGAGTAATAAACTAACCACTGCTAATACGAGCAGTACACCAGTGCTAGTCCATTTGGGTGTGAGGCACAAAAGGAATTCCTCCTGGCATCTGTATTACTGTCCTTTCGTTCTTTTCCCCTTTCATAAAACTCGGTCACTCATTATCATGTTCTCGGATCGTTCCGACCCGGACCGTTTATTCCTTTCCTTCCTCCCTGTCGTTGGGACCGAACTCTCTTTACTACCGTCACAAATGCAGACAAGTCAAACAAGTTCTGGTCTGTGAAGCCATTATCGGCTTTTCCAAAGCTATGCTTGCATTGACGCGTCGAGGCAGTCAGGACCTGGCGGACTTCACGCCCATGATCCGATCCTAAATAGGGAGCTCTTCAAAGATATAACAGGTCTGTGGGTTGGCTATCAAGGTACTGACAATGCTACATCCAGCAGTTCCCAGTTACATGTTTCCGTTCCCCTTGCCCAAGGAAACCAACATCAAATCTACCATTGTCCTCGTGGGCGCCGGCCTAGGTGGTCTCGCGCTACTCGAAAAGCTTTCAACCAGGATCACCCACAAACACTATCTTGTTCTCATTGATGCCCGTCCGGCATTAATACATCTCATTTCAACTCTCCGCCTCATCGTATCAGACGCAGACAACCTCCTCGAAAAAGCTATTCACCCGTACGGAACACACACTTTTCGAAACAAACTTGTCGGAAACGCGTCTTTCATCCATGCCTCTGTAACCGAAATCAAGTTTGGTAATTCTGAACTTTTGTTGAACAGCGGTCAAGCGGTCAAGTATGATGTGCTCGTGCTCGCTACTGGCTCGGTTTGGCCTCGTCCAATCGCTTTCCCAAACGAGAGTCGCGAGGCAATTATCGAACATGTAAAGGCGCGTCGCGCAGAGTTCGAAAAAGCGACAAACATCCTGCTTGTTGGAGGTGGGGCTGTTGGTATAGGTCAGTTGCTATTCATCGCCTCAAGTTTGTTGCTCATATCATGCGTAGAGCTTTCTGGAGAACTTCGAGATGCATTCCCTGTAAGTCTTTCTTTCCCCCTACTGAATAGCTCTGATACCTTCTGATACCATGTATTTAGACAAAACCAATAACCATCATTCATCGTGAACGCCTTCTGCTCAACTCGACGTACCCGGACAAATTCCGTATCCGCATGCAGCGGCAACTCGAAGCGCGTGGCATAACCGTCCTCATAGATGATTTCATCTCTGATCCTGACGTGGCGTCCGTTTCTCAAAATCAGGTCCCCTCGGCCGGCTTCGTCTCTTCGCGAGGCACCAAGCTTAATCCAGATCTTGTTGTTCCTACCTGGGGAAATCGCCCCAACACCTCCTACCTCCCATCCTCCGTCCTCTCCTCATCTTCCCATGTAAAAATCCTCCCAACGTTCCAACTCCCTGATCATCCGAACGTGTTTGCTTTCGGTGATATCATCGACTGGGACGAACAGCACATGGCCGGAAAAGCAGTAGCTTTCCATGCACCGAAGGTCGCTACGAACGTAATGCTTTATTTGAATCTGGTTGAGTCTGCTGGTCCTGGCGCAAAGGTGGATTTGAGTGCGTCGAAGAAGAGTGTCAAGTATACTGGAAGCTCTGAAGGATTGGCGATTACGAATGGAAAAGTAGGTTCTACATTGAGCACCGTGTCCTAATATTGGTTTTCTAAGCATTCGTTTCACAGACATCTGGGTTGGGATTCTTAGATGTCCTCTGGGGTATCACCTTGTCCGGATGGGTTGTTTCAATGATCAAATCGAAAGGCCTTTTTGTGTCGGGTTTGTCTAAAGTGACGGGGTACACGCCCTCCACATCGAAGTAGTTTGTTCGCATTTTCTGGTTTCTGCGGTATTTTATTGTGGATGACGATAGTACTCGTGATGGGCTTTGTAACAACAGCACGACCGTTGACCTTTTTTTTTTCTGTACCTACATATACCCCAGGTCTCATGCATTATCATTTTGGC